CTCCAAGGTTCATGCACCATGATACTGTTTGAGGTATGTTTCTCCAAAGTATATCATAATGAGTTCTCAATAACACACTTGAACCTAACACAGTATGTGCTCTATGAGTGATGGGTTAAGCGAATGAAATTTCCCACAGTAAATGCACCATGGGCCTTGCTTACCATTTCGCATTGTCTCTCAAAGAACATTCAAAATGAGTGCTAAGTAATTGACATGAGCTTCCCACAGTGTATGCATCATGAGTTCTGGGTTATAAGCATGTGTCTACCATAGGATATTCATCATAAATCCTGGATTATAGGCATGAGCCTACCACAGTATATCTATTGTAAGTGCTGGGTTATAAGTGTGTGCCTACCATAGGACATTTACCATGAATAGTGGATTATAGGGATGAGCATTCCAAGTACATGAACCTTGTGTGCTGTGTTTCAGGCATGTGTCTCCAGAGTATGTGCACAGTGAGTTCCTGGTTACAGGCTGAGGCTTATGCAGTACATCCACCATGAGTGTAGGCTTACTGTTTTGAGCCTCACAATGTACATTCACAATGAGTGCTGAGTTATAGCATGAGCCTCCCTAATATATGCACCATGAGTACTATGTTTTAGGGGTATGCCTTCAGAATACATGCACAATGTGTTCTCATTTATAGGCTTGAGCCCCTAACAGTACATGTTCCCTGAATAATGTGCATTTGGTGTGAGCCTCTCACAATAAATACATCATGAGTACTGGCTTGCTATTTTTAGTATCAATAATATGTTCACAATGAGTGCTTGTTAATAGACATGAGCCTCCCACTGTACATGCACTATGAGAGCTGGCTTGCTGTTTTCAGTCTAGAACACTACATTTACAATGATTGCTGTAGTAAGAGCATGAGACTCCCACAATGCATGACCCATGAGTGCTCCATAGTTATGTGTCTCCAGAGAGCATTCACAATCAGTGCTCGGTTATAGGCTTGAGTCTCAGAGTAAATTCACCATGAGTGATAGTAATACATTTGTCATCTTCCTGTAGTGCACCATGAGTGATGGCTCACTGCCATGATCGCAACATAATACATGCAACATGAATACTGAGTTATAGACCTGAGCCTCCCACAGTACATGCACAATGAGTACAGGTTTGCAGTCATGAGCACAATTAAATTTGGGTTATAGGCATGAGCCCCCCACAATTTATGTACCATGAGCTCTGGCTCACTGTTTTGGGTAACATACAGTGAATTCACAATGAATGCTGGGTTATAGGCATGAGCCCTGGCTCACTGTTTTGGGCAACATACAGTGAATTCACAATGAATGCTGAGTTGTAGGCATTAGCTTCCCACTGTACATGTACCATGAGTGCTGCATTTACAGGCACATGTCTAAAGAGACCATGCACCATGAGTACTGGGTTACAGGAATGGGTGGGCCTCAAACCATACTGATTTATTGTTTCAAGCTCTCACAGTACTTTCACAATAAGTCCTTGTTAATAGTCATTAGCCTACCAGAGTACAAGTACCATTAGTGCTAGTGTTACAAGGGTCATCCTCTCACAGTACATGTACCATGAGTGCTGGCTTACAGACATGAGCCAATCATAGACCCTGTAACACGAATCCTGTGATGCATATTCTTGGGAATCTCACGCCTATAACCCAGCACCCACTGCTAATGTATTCTGAAAGACTCAAAATAGTAAGCCAGTACTCTTTGCACACATAACTCTAGTAAGCTCATGACTGTAACCCAGCACTCATGAATGTATCATTCAAAACTAAAACCAATTATAACTCACTCATTGTAAATATGGTATAGACAGTTCATGGCTGTAACCCAGCACTCATGGTGCATGTACTGTGGGAGGCTTAGGCCTATAACCCAGGACTCATGGTGCATGTTCTATGGTGGCTCATGGAATTAGCCAGCACTCATGATGCATGTAATTTGGGAGGAAGATACCCATAATCCTAGCACTCATAGAGCACATACTGTGGTAGGCTCATGTCTAGGGCCCAGCACTCATTGTGAATGTACTGCGCAAGATTCAAAACAATACTCTTTGTGAATTCACTGTGTGGGATTCACACCTGTAACCAAGCGCTCGTGATATATGTACTGTGGTGGACTTATGCCAGTAACCAAGTATCTACTGTATATGTACTGTGGTGGGCTCATGGCTGTAACCCAGCACTCATGATGCATGTCCTGCGAAAGGCTTAGGCCAATAATGCAAGATTCATGGCACAAATTCTATTGTGGGCTCATGACAGTAAGCCAGCATTCATGGTGATTATCCTGTGGTAATATTACAAATATATTCATAGTAGCCATAGTGTATTGACTGTGTGAGGCTCAAGTCTGCAACCTATGCAGCACTTACTTTAGTGGACAATATTCAAAACCGTAAGCCAACAATAATGGTACATATATTGTGGTAGGCTCGTGCCTATAAACCAGGATTCATGTGGCGTGATCTTTGGTTGTCTCATAACTGTAAGCCAACTCTCATAGTGCACATACTGCATGAGGATAACCCTAGCAAACATAGCATTCATGGTAAATGTACTCTCCTAGGCTCAAGACTATTAAGCATCACTTATTGTAAATGCATTGTGTGAGACTCAATAAAGAAAGCCAGCATTAATTGTGCATGTACTGGGTGAAGCTAAAGCCTGTAGTCCAATGCTGATTGCAAATGTATTGTGTGAGACCCAAACCATGAGCTAGTACTCAAGATGCATGTTCTTTGTGAAGCTCATGCTTCTAACCCAGTAGTCATTGTGAATGTACTGTGAGGGGTTCAAAACAGTAAGCTGGCCCTCATAGTAAGTGTACTATGGGAGGCTCACGCTTAAAACCCAGAATCAATTGTGCGTGTTCTATGGTGGTCTCATGGCTTAATCCATCACTCATTTTGCATGTACTCTGGAGACACATGCCTGTAAACTAACGCTCATAGTACAGGTACATTGGGATGCTCATTTCCATAACACAGCATTCATTGTGAATGTACTGTGCAATACTCTTTAAGCCAGCAAGAATGGTGAAAATATACTGTGGGAGGCTTATATCTATAACACAGCACTCACTGTGAATGTACTGTGTGAGTCTCAAAACAGTAAGCCAGCACTCACGGTGCCTGTACTATGGAAGGCTCATGCCTGTAACCCAGAAATTTGTTGTTAATGTACAGTAATAGATTATGAATTGTAAGCCAGAACTCAACAGTTCATGTACTATGAGAGGTTCCTGCCTAAAACCCAGAACTCCTTGTGCATATAATTGGAAGATAAAGGTCTGTAATGCAGTATTTATGGTGCATGTATATATAGTATGACTCCTATGCCTATAACCTAGTACTCATTGTTAATGTGCTTGGGAGACACATGCCTGTAACAAAGCACACTCATGTGCTGCTTGCATTTACTGTACAATGTTCCTTCCCATAATCTAGCACCCACTGTAAATGTAGTGTTCTAGATTCAAAACTGTCAGCCAGCAATCACAGTGCACAAACTTTTGATGTGCGTGCTGGTGATTCAAACTCATGGTTTATGTACTGCCAGAGAGTCACACAACTAACCCAGCACTTGTGGTACATGTACTGTGGGAGGCTCGTGTTTATAATTCAGCACTCATTGTGACTGTATGCTACATGACTCAAAACATTGTCAGCATTAATGTGCTGTGAGAGGCTCAAGTCTATAACACATCATTTATGGTGCATATATTCTGGAAACACAAGCTTGTAACCCAATATATCTTTAATGTACTGTGGGAGACTCACATTATTAACACAGCACTCCTTGGGCTCATACTGTGAAAGGCTCAGGTTCATAACCCAGCACTCACTATAAATGTACTGTGTGAGATTCAAAACAGTAAACCAGCACTCATGATACAAATCATGTTTGAGGCACATGCTTACAACCCAGTATTCAAGGAGTATGTATTGTGTAAGGCTCATGTCTATAATTCAGCACTCCTTGTGAATGAACTCAGGTGATGCATGTCTGTAATGGAGCACTCATATACTTGTGCTTACTGTGTGAGTATCATGCCTAAATTCCTGTACTCATTGTGTAAATGTACAGTTTGGAATGTATATTCCAAAACACTCATGTTGTACATATTCTAGAGATGCATGAGAAGAACTCAGGACTTAGGATTTATATAGTGTAGGAGACACATATCATTAACCCAGCACACTTGTGTCAATGACGTACAGTGCATCACTCAAACAGTATAACAGCGTTCACGGTGCCTATACTTTGAGAGGCTCATGCGTTGATTGCAAATAAACAGCACTAGATTATAAGCAGTAAGTCAGAACTCATGGTACATGTACTTCTGGAGATTCATGCCTAGAACACATCAATCATGGTGCACATATTCTGTAGTTGCACACTTGTAACCCAGTACTCATGTTTTATGTACTCTGGGAGACTCACACCACTAACCCAGACATTTATGTCAATGTACTATGCATGACCTAATACAGTAAGACAGCACTCATGATGCCTGATTGTGGGAGGTCATATCTATAACCCAGCATTCATCATGAATATACAGTGCTAGATTACAAATAATAAGCCAACACTCATGGCACATGTACTGTGGGATGCTCCTGTTTGTGGTGATATAATGTGTCTTTCAATATATTGTGTGCCCTAATCAACCTATCTGGGGATCAGAGAAAATAGAGCCAGCTATTAGATTAGACACAGAGGCCAGACAGTGGTGATACACACACCTTTAATGCTGTCACTCAGGAGGCAGAGATCTATCTCGATCTCTGTGAATTCAAGGCCACACTGGGAACAGAGCCAGGCATGGTGGCACACACCTTTAATCCCAGCGCTTGAGATCTCGTGTCTTTGTGACCCGTCCCGCGGGCCAGGTTATTGGGGAGACCCGAGGAGGCACCTCCTGAAAGATCAATGGGGGCGAGAGAGAAAGGAGACCAGGTGCAATAAGGGAAGACAGAGTCAGTCTGAGTCGCGTCAAGGTCTCGTTTATTGACTGGGTGTTGAGACTTATAAGCAGGGCTTCAGGCAGGGAGGGGGAGCAGAGGAAGCAAAAGGAGAGAAGAATGGAAAATTCCTGAGGAAGGGTGAGGTCGCTTTGGTCCCAGGCCCCCTGCAGTTGACAGGCTCCAGAAAGTTTACCTAATCGCCATCTCCTGCAGTTAGGCCAGGAAGGTCTTATCTAGTCACATCTCCTGCAGTTAGGTCAGGAAGTTCTTGTCAAGGCTTGACAAAGTCCAGGACATAGCTGTCCGGAGTCGGTCTCCAACAGTTCCTCCCCTTTTCTCAAAAATGGACCAAGTCCATTGTGATCGGGGTGGCTAGGGTCCGAGAGAGTCCCTGTCTTAGGCTACACAGGGGGCTTCCCACACTCGGCAGCGTGCCATGTTGAGCCGGTCTCGACGACCTCTGTATGCTGTTGTCTCCGGCGTGAGCCCTGTACTATTCCCGTCATTGGGTACCCTCTAGCAAGACCATGGGGACGCTAGGGCCTTAGGACACTGAATCTGAGTCCTTGATGGGGCTCCTGGCTGGCCTCCTCGGAATCTACTCTATGATAATGAATCGAGATGTGTCGTGGTGAGGCCGAATCAATCTGATTTTTGATAAACTGAGTCAACTGCTGAAAGGCCCAGGGACCAAAGGTAATGAGAAGGAGAAAAACAACTAAGGGGGCTAGGTAGCAAGGTAGGTAGCAAGGTGGAGAGCCAGGGGGACCCTTGCAGCCAATTTTTAAACCACCTGTGCTGATTTTTAAACTCCTTTTTTTTGGGGGGGGGCTAGCCTTTTCCTTAATTTTTCCATCAATTCCCTGACAATACCAGTATGGTCGGCATAAAAGCAGCATTCTTTCTTTAAGGCTGCACATAATCCCCCCTCCTTTAAAAATAGTAAATCCAGACCTCTTATGTTTTGTAACACAACTTCAGAGAGCGAGGTTAAAGATTTCTCCAGAGCAGAAATGGATCTTTCTATGGCCTCTAGGTCAGTAGTCATAGCCATTTGTAACTGCATAAGGTGGTTGCTCTGCACGAGGGCAGTAGTTCCTGTACCAATTTCTGCAGTGATACCCCCAATACCTAACAATAGGGCAATAGTCATAGACACAGGTTCTCGAGTGTATCTGCCTCTCTGTTCAAAGAATTCCATATCAGAGACTAATTGGACCAGAACATAAGAGCTTTCCCATTATCAATGGCAAAGCGAGCTTCCCCTTATTCAGTTTTTGCCATCTGCAAGTATGTCATGGGTTCAGAGGTGGATATTGGAATTCTAGCATCCTCAGTTTAGTGGTACCCAGACATGAATCATCATTTAGTTAAGACATCAGTGATATAAGAGCCAACAGTAATTAGCAGAAGCACATGGGCCAAAAGCCTTCTGATGGCTGACAGAGTTCCTTATCCTCAAGGAACCTGGAACTTTATCTCAGGTTCCCTATGACAAGAAATTCCCTTTTGATCTAACATTCCAGGGGGGCGGGAAACAAGGGCGATGTTTTCTCTTCTATAATTACTTCCTGCTGACATTGGGACGTTGTTGTCAAGGCCCTGGAAAGCCAGAATGTTAGTCAAAGACAAGAGGGAATGTTTTATTGACCAGCTGAAGAGATGGTATGCATATCGACTGAATTGGTCCATATCAGCTTTCAGCAAGTTCAGGGCTCAGTCATTTGCAGTAGGTTGTCACCAGCAAATGATGCTTGGATGTATCTGTCAGCCACGTGGAAACCTGTTGAGATAGATATAAACTAGGAACAGAAGTTAAAACTTATGAACTTATTTGGAACTTTTAGACCCATAGTCTTAGTAATTGTAGTATTATCAATTTGCCCTGAAATCCATAGTGTCTTTTCTATCTAGAGAGCCAAGCATAGATTGGACTGAAATTTCTTTGGCCCAATGAAAAGCATCTGTAAGTCTATATTTAGAACCTGTTTACCTTTTTTAAAGAGACTTGTAGCTAGAGTTTTCCTGCCTTGCCCACAGTCAGGAAAAATCTCTCTCATCTGCCAGTCCCACAGTCACTCAGACCCGACCAAGTAAACACAGAGACTTATATTGCTTACAAACTGTATGGCCGTGGCAGGCTTCTTGCTAACTGTTCTTACAGCTTAAATTAATCCATTTTTATAAATCTATACCTTGCCACGTGGGTCGTGGCTTACCGGCATCTTCACATGCTGTTTGTCATCGTGGCAGCTGGCAGTGTCTCTCAGCCTTTCATTTCCCAGCTTTATTTTTCTCCTTATTAGCTTTATTTTTTTTATTTTCTTTAATTAATTAATCCATTGATCAATCAATTACTAAGCTGACAAAGGTATAGCTAGCCCAGTCATCAATGTTATCAAAGATCTGAGAAGGATAAACTCTACCTGAGTGCAGACTTTTAAATCTATTTAAAAAACAACAGAGACTATCCATTACCCAGACTGCCATCATCCCAGGCTCCTATAGTCTTCATAGTGTTGGCAGGACAGGTGTCAGGACAGCATCAGTCTTGGCTGCTGGGCCCATAATGTGAAATTTTCCCTGTTGAGGAGCAACTTGGTAAAGACTGATCTTATCTTGTCAGTGTCTCATAGGCCAAATCCCTGGCAGCAGGTGTTGAGTCAGAGTGTCTTGCCCAGTGGTCAGTGTTGTCCACATATCAGGTGGCATCTTCTTGTCATTGCTCCATATCTTTTTTGGAGACCTTGGGAGTCATTGCTAGGAGCTGGGGAGCTTGGAGTCTCTGTTTGCTATAGTAAGCTTTTTATCAAATAATGTAAATGCCATATTTAACAGATCTTGACAGGTTTGAGGACCATTATCTATTAAATGTATCTGAGCCAAACAAATCTAGGCCCAATCTTGAAAATATCTCTAAGTTTGGTAACAATAACCAGGCCAATTTGTTCACCTATAGATATATTAGTTAAATATACCTCTCAGTTTTTTTTTATTAAAATAGAACAGTTTATACTTTAAACTAGTATCTGAATAGCCAGATGACTAGTATTAACTTGTATTCCTTAACATAAAGGACATGCAAACTCAGACATTCAAAACCAAACATACATGTGGCCACATTTTTCATTCATACCTGTACAGTAGACAGACATTTTTACAACTATAACCCTTTGGAGTCTCAATGTAACAGCAGAATAGCAAGACAAAGAAATCTGAAACATGTTTTATTTTTTTTTTTTATATATCTCAAGTCATTTTTTTAGATCATTATTTAAGCCTTTTTATCCTCAGACCTTTATACCTTGCTTTTACATATTCTAATAACTTGCATTTTACATATTTTTTAAAACATTTTTTTTTTATCTTAACCAACAATAATTTGAAACCAATTCTCTTAAATGATGGCAAGTATTTGTAACCCATTGAACTCAAATGACCAAAACCCATTGCTATGCCCAGATCGCCCCCAAAGAACCCTCCTGGAGACTTAGGTACAGAATGCAAAAAGCAAGGTTTATTCAGATGAAGTCAAAGTTTACAAGCCACGGCAGGGGGCTCGTTCCAAATCTCTCACGCCCTTTCTTTGTGAGGCTAGTTCTTAAAGGCACAGACCACATAATTCATCTCTCACAGCCTGTCTCCATTCTTTCTGGTTCATATCAGTATGTTATCTTTATTTCTTGTTTGTTAAACAACCGTGTCTAGGAGTTTTACGAGCTGTCTCCGGGGTTCGAGAAGTTTGGGATGTTTTATGACCACTTAGCCTCTGTCAGATGGTCATATATTCGGACTCTGTGGTTTTTTTGTTTGTTTGTTTGTTTTTTGTTTTTTTTTTTTTTTTTTAAGTTTCTGTAGCTGATAAAGCCACCTGGGAAAAAAGGGGTCTAACTTCTTATCTACACTTAGGAATCCTGGTTTAGGCTTCTCTTTGTCTGTAGGGGATAGAGGAAGGGGGGTTATTGAGGTTTCACACCATGTAAATTTTTTATTTTTCCTGTGGAAACAAAAGCATAATTTTCCCAGTATCTTGAACTGATAATTTAACATTTCTTTTCAAGCAATACCAGGACAGAGAAGGGTTAACAAGAGAAGTGGCTGGCCGGCAGAAGAGACCTTGAAGTTATCACAGTAAAGGGAGGGAAGGGGAGCAGTGGGCATAGAGCATGTCCTTGGCTGCCAGTGTTCCTGAAAAAAAGTTTTTGTTAACTCCTCTGACTAAAGTCAGATTCTCTGCTCAGAGTCCACACAGTTTTGTCAATTGCAGGCAGTCCCCATTGCCCTGTCCAGAGCTCCTGTCTTTGCCCGCCTGTAAGGAGAGCATGCACCCCCACCCTCGTGAGAGCAGCCAGCTGGCTGCAGTCCTGATAGCAAGAGAGCTACGGAGGGACGGACGGAGGTGGCCTTTGTTATGCCTCTCTTTCCTCCTCTTCCTTTAGGAAAATAAGGGAGGTTAGTAGACAGAAATAAATAACATTTACACAGACAATCCAAGAACCGGAACATCAGCACTGAGATGACGGCCTCATTCACAGCCAGCAAGCCCCTCTTACAGTATGCAAGCCCCATCAGGCAGGAGCTACCTGTTTATCTCAGTTCAATCGGGGAGTGGGGGTGGGGGACCCAGTTCCCTCTATTGTGGCTCAAACATCCTTCTAGTGGGCTAGGCAAAGGTCTAGTGGAGAAGAAGGGAACTGTCCCATAGCGTCCGTCACAGTCAAGTCAACATTGAGAACAGTTAATACATTACACACAAGACCAAGGGCACATGAAAAAACTTCGCCCCAACAAAACAACCAACAAAGTTCCAAGAACAATGACAGCCTGATGTGCTCTGGGTGGGGGGAGGGCAACCCTCCAGGCTCAATCATATCAAAAACAATCCAGACTCAAGTATCTCTATCCTTAAATCAAACAGACATCAGGGGCTTCCACATCCCTGTCAGTCAGACATGCACCTTTTTTTTTTTTCTTGGAAGAGAAGGAGAGAGTAAAGTAACAATGATCACAACAAAACATACAAAAAAACCCCATAAAATGGCTCTGACAATTTCCCAGGACAAAATACAAAGTGGCACTTCCTCCCACCGTGGGGGAAGATACCCAAAGATGCTCCTAAACCAAATGGTTACCTCTGAGGTGGCCTTAGGGCTCTGGGACGTCTCCCTTGGCCGCCAGGTTCACTGTCCGGACACGTCTGTCCCAGTGAGAGCCTGCAAAGTACAAATCAAGCCTGCAAAGTACAAAACAAAAGTAACAAGACAGAGAGACACAGACAAGACAGAGAGCGCTCTTACCGGTAAAACATCTCTAATCACACCATAAAAACTAAAAAAGGCATCGGGACATTTTCCCATCTCTGATTAATTTGTTAGTATCTTTTCCAACCTTGTTCCAAGTCAGAGGGTGAATTCCTGGTCCATTAATCACTAACCAGGGACATTTCTTTTCCATATATTGGAAGAATTTTATTAAATCCTTTTTTTTTTTAACTCTTATTCCTCTCTCCCTAAGATTACCTTTCATCTCCTTTAGAAAAACAGCCTCTTTAGATAAATTTTTGTCCATGATCGATGGGACGACATACTTACCTCAAGACTCTCCCGCGTTGCACGAGTGATGCGGTCCGGGCGTCTCTACCCTGATCCTCTCCGGGGGGGCCCCTTCTGTTGTCCGTCGTCCGGCAGGTCACCGTGCCTCGGGCCCCACGTTGGGCGCCACTTGACCCGTCCCGCGGGCCAGGTTATTGGGGAGACCCGAGGAGGCACCTCCTGAAAGATCAATGGGGGCGAGAGAGAAAGGAGACCAGGCGCAATAAGGGAAGACAGAGTCAGTCTGAGTCGCGTCAAGGTCTCGTTTATTGACTGGGTGTTGAGACTTATAAGCAGGGCTTCAGGCAGGGAGGGGGAGCAGAGGAAGCAAAAGGAGAGAAGAATGGAAAATTCCTGAGGAAGGGTGAGGTCGCTTTGGTCCCAGGCCCCCTGCAGTTGACAGGCTCCAGAAAGTTTACCTAATCGCCATCTCCTGCAGTTAGGCCAGGAAGGTCTTATCTAGTCACATCTCCTGCAGTTAGGTCAGGAAGTTCTTGTCAAGGCTTGACAAAGTCCAGGACATAGCTGTCCGGAGTCGGTCTCCAACATCTTTGCTTGGGAAGAACACACATATTTAATCCCAGGAAGTGATGGCAGGAAGCAGAACAGTGTATAAGGCATGAGAATCAGGAACTAGAGGCTTTTTAGCAGCAGTTCAACTGAGACTCTCAGGGGTGAGGACTCAGAGGCTTTCAGTCTGAGGATTCGTGAAAACAGGATCAGCTAAGGAGCTGGTGAGGTGAGGTTGGCTGTGGTTCCTTCTGTTTCTCTGATCTTTCAGTTTTCACCCCAATATCTGGCATTGGGGTTTTTTTATTAATAAGCTCTTTTAAGATTCATGTTACACCTGTTTATAACATAGCACTCATTGTGAATGTGCTGTGTGTGACTCAAAACAGTTAGCTAGCATCCCTGGTCCATTTACTGCTGTTGGAGGCTCACACATTTAATACATCACTCATGGTACACTTACTCTGTAGTTACACACATCAAATTCAGGATTCTTGGTTTATGTCTTATGGGATACTGATATCATTAACCCAATACTCATGGTGCATGTTCTGTGAGGAGCTCGTGTTTATAACCCAGCACTAATTGTGAATGCACTCTGGGAGACTCACACCACAAATCAAGCACTCATGGTATGTTTACTGTGGGAGTCTCACACCTGTAACTGAGCACTCATGGAATGTGTTGAGTGAGACTCAAGCCTGTAACCTAGCACTCATGGTGCATATACTCTGAAAACTCACAGAAATAATGCAGCACTAATTGTGCATGTAATTTTGTAAGCTATTGCTGATAGCTCATTATGAACATACTATGCAAGATTCCATACAGTAAGCCAGCACTCACAATGCATATAGTGTGGGAGACCCAGGCATACAACTTTTTATTTGTGTTTCATGTACTGTGATAGGCTGACACTTGTATACCAGTACTTATAGTGCATGCACTTTGGGATGCTCATAAGTAAAACCCAACACTTATGGAGCCTGTACTGTGATTCTCACGCTTGTGTCACAAAATATCATGGTACATGTACTCTGGGAATGCACACTTTTAACACAACACTCATGGTGCATGTACTATGGAAGGCTCATTCTTATAACACAATATTCATTGTGAATTTACTGTGTGAGATTCCTAAACATAAGCCAGAACTCATCATGTATGTACTGTGAAGGGCTCATGCATATAACGCATCACTCATAGTACAAGTATTCTGGTAATGCGTGCCTGTTACCAAACAAGCACTCATGTTTTATGTACTGTTGGAGACTCACACCACTAAGGTAGCAGTCATGGTACATGTTATGTAAGAGGCTCATGTTTATAAACAGCACTTATTGTGAATGTACTATGTGTGGCTCAAAACAGTAAACCAGCACCCAGTATTTATTGGGAGAGGCTGATGCCTTTATACAGAACTCATGAAGCATAATTTTTGTGAGTCCCACACCTATAATCCAGCATTTATGAAGCATTGCTATACTGCTCTCACGGCTATAAGTGAGCATCCACTCTGCATATACTGTGTGAAGCTGTTGCTTATAACCCAGATCTTAATATGAATGTTCTGTGCAGCACTTCAAACCATCAGCATGCAGTGTGCATTTGCTGTGGGAGGTTCATGCCTATAATCCAGCACTCATTGTGAATGTATGATATAAGATTCAAAAGAGTAAGCCAGACAGTCCACACCAATTGGAAGAACAGGTGAGTGATCTGCCTCCTTGCTGGCTGTCCCACTCTCCAGAATCTTATCACCAGGGCACATCCCTTGGCCCTCCCCCTACCTATCTTAGCACAGGCACTGCTGCTGGGACCTCCCCCCAACTGCAGTGGAATTCCACTGCTCTGGTACAGTCCTCACCTGTCAACTAGCTGGTGAGTGACTCACCTGCCAGCTGGACTACCCCCACCCCTCGATTCTATTCCCCCAAGAACCACTCTGCCACCCAAACCCTCCAAACTCATCATCTTCCCAATGGCCAGGCCTTCCCCACAACTCAGGAAGACTCCAGAGGTCCAGGTATAGTCCTTACCAGTCAGAAGAATAGTGGAATGACCTGCCTGCCTTGAGATGTCTTTCTGTATGCTGTGAATATGTGTTGCTACTATTGATTGGTTAATAAATAAAGCTGCATCAGCCTATTGGCAGGGCAGAATGGAGCCAGGCAGGAGATACAAGAGAAATAGAGAGAGGAGAAAGACAGGGACAGGAGACATTGTGAGCTGCCACCAGGAGAAGCAAGATGTGAGAGAACAGGTAACACCACGGCCACGTGGCAAAACATGGATTAATAGAAATGGGTTAATTTAAGATGAAAGAGCTAGCTAGCAAGAAGCCTGAGCCATATGCCATACATTTGTAATTAATATTAAGCCTCTGAGTGATTGTTTTATAAGTGACTGTGGGACCGTGGATGGGAGAGATTTGTCTGTCCTGTGGAGCCTGGAGAAACTTCTGACTACACTTGCCACCCAGCAGAGCTGCCCCCCAGCAGAGCTGCCCCCAGCAGAGCTGCCCCCCAGCAGAGCTGCCCCCAGCAGAGCTGCCCCCCAGCAGAGCTGCCCCCCAGCAGAGCTGCCCCCCAGCAGAGCTGCCCCCCAGCAGAGTTGCCCCCAGCAGAGCTGCTCCACTTTCCAGACCCTGACTCCCAGAGGCAAATCTCATGCTCCTCCCATCTCAGCACTAGCACTACTGCCGGGCCCTGTCTCCAATTCCACTGGAATTCCACTGCTTTGGTGAAGTTCTCTCCAGTGGACTGGCAGTGACCAGCCCGCAGGCTGCACTGCCTCCACATCTGGATTCTATTCTATATGTACTCTGTGCTGCTCAGGCCTTTTAGCCAATACTCATGGTTCATGCATTCAGAAATACATGAACAAGTCCTGACTCCCCATATAACTTAAGTTCGACTTTGGCAAGGAAAGGAAATCAGCATATTCAGGGTGATGCCTATACTCCCAAGCTGCAATACTATGCATAATGGCCAAGATAGGGTAAAAGTGGGATGTCCATCAGCAGTTAAGTCTAGGACAAGACACACATTGACATGTGAAAGCTAAAAATATGTTAAAATGTTTGCCTCAAACACACTGACATTAAAGTCAGGCATGGTAGAGCATATCTATAATCCTAGCACTTAGGAAGCAGAGGCAGGAGATCACAAATTCAGGAGCGGCCTGTGGTACATAGCAAGATTTTGTTAGAGGAAGAAGAGAAAAAAAAAGTAAAAAAAAGAGGAGGTGAAGAGGGAGTGGAGGAGGAGGAAACTTATTAAAATGTAAGGGTAACAGGGAAGAAGGAGATTGGATAGAATCCCAAAATAGTTAACTAGACCAATACACTTTTTCACTAAGTTACTCTTGTCTCCAGGCCCATATATATTGAAGAGTTTTTGTTGGCATATTTTTAAAATATTTTCTCTGCTAATAGCATATATTCAGATTCTGAGATAAAATTCTAAAGAAAATTCTGCTTGGGTGTGAGCTTTAACTGATCACTGAGAATTAAGACACATACAGAATCTGCCTTTGACATACATCTCTACTAAGGTCTGTGTGCTTGTGTCTCCTCAAAATTTACCTAAAGAAATCGTAACCCCAAAGGTAGTTCATAGGAGGTAAAGCCTTTGGGAGGACAGCAAGTCCTGAGGGTGAAGCTGCATGAATAGGGTGAATAGACTTAAAAAGAAGCCTCTGTTTAGTCTGCCATGTTGAAGACACAGACACAAGCCTCCATCTGCCAGGAACAGGCGCTCTTCAGACACTGAACTGCCAACAAACTGGTCCTGGACTTCCCTGCCTATCTAACTGTGTGAAATAAACGGTGTTTGCAAGTTTTCTAGTCTGTGGTACTTTCCTACAGCAACAATAATGGGCTGAAGTCACTATTTCTCTAATAACTGCATCCATGGACCCCAAGGACAGAAAGCTAGAAATGGAGTCTTGTTAGAATCTATGACCACCTGCAGGGTTAGCGTTTCCTATGCTCTGCAAGCTTTTAGTCCTGATTCCTAGTGATAGGGAGTTCTGCCAGAGACATTTTTTGTCATAGAAGGGACCCAATGAAGTATCTGTGGACACAAGAGACTCACTAAAGCATCTCTAGATTCTGAACATGGAAGAAAACATGTCCTATTTATATCCTGGGTATAGTGTACCTTACTTAATACGAGCAACAGTTCTGTTTATTTTCTTACAACCTGATTTCATTTTCTTTATGGACAAATAATACTCAAATATAACATACTATTTTCCTGACCCATTCACCTGCTAGCAGAGGTGCTTATTCTCATGGAGCTGTGGTATAGTCTGTGCTTCCAAATCACATTTCCTACAACTCAAGACAACAAAGGATTCCTAAGATGAATTTATTTTTTTATTTTATTTTATTTACTTTTGTTTGTTATTTTTGAGACAGGGTTTCTCTGTGTAGCTTTGGAACCTGTCCTGGAACTTGCTATATAGACCAGGCTGTCCTCAAACTCACAGAGATCCACCTGCCTCTCCCCCCGACCCCGAGTGCTGGGATTAAAGGCATGCACCACCACTGCCCGACCCTAAGATGAATTTTAATAAGCTTAGACACCAACTATAGAGCCTCTAAAAGGATCCTCCTGAGGCCAAAGATGTAAACCTAAAGATCCTGGTAAAAAGGGATCATTACCAGTTTGCGGGTTGAGGAACAATAGAGAGGGGAATAGCAAAATACAAATGATTTGATCATTGGAAATGAGAAAAACAGAGGACTTTTCAGGAGGGGAAAGGGAGATAAAAACAAGAAAGAAACAGGAGGGGAAAATAACAGTAAGGATGTAGGAAAAAGCCATAAGGCATTATACTATTAACTATCTACCTAAAAATTATACAATACATGTAAGTCTGTGTGTGTATAAATATACATATGTAGTTTAAGTGAAATTCTCTCATCTGGGTTGACAATACTTCCTCCAAGAGCCAAAAACCATCTAACAGAAAACCCAACACCAGGCATGAGAGCTCTCCTTTGACTTGTTGTGGGG